ACTTTTGGGTGTTTCATTCCCACCAGCCAGTAATGCTGGTGGGCGGGCAGTCCCTCCGGACTACGCCGGAAGGTAGGGCGGAAGGCCCTCTTCAGCCTGCGTTCAGGAATCGTGGGAATGGGTGGGTGGTGGTTCGGGTGAGAAAGTTGAGACGGACGAAAATGGAATGAATACATGCTTACCTGTAAGAAATTTTTTGCGTAGGTTCCAGAAACGCTCCTGTAATACCTATTAATTATGTACCTACAGGCCTATTTACTTGCAAACCTATATCGTGGAAGTTAAGTATCTATTTATATATAGGTATTTAAAGTAAAATTAAACGATGCGTTTATGTTGTACCTATACAAAACAAATAATAGTAATAAGTTGTAATGCATGCTTGATTGCTGTATAGAGAATAGATTTGCAAGGTTATCGTCGTAAATTGTAAATATGTATATGTATTTATCAAGGTTACTTTTGCACGAGTAACCGTTGCAGCCTTTAAAATCTAATCAGTCGTAGCACATACTCACCGATCAATTAGAAAATTAAACACGGAAATTGAAATAGACACCATTCGGCCTATGTCTAGCCTCCCTGTACCGAAATCTAACTAATAAATCGCGTTGGAAAGTATGACGTATGCTTGCCGACATATCATCATCGTCATCTCGTCATCATCATCATCAAAAGGTCATCATTCCAAAAATTGGTCGGACTCCCAGCTTCATTCTTCCTATCCTGCGCTAATCTTTGCATTTCCGTAAAACTAGAACACACCACATCCTCATCCTTAAATATTTGTGAACATTTATCTAATCTAGGTCTATCTCTTCCCCCTCTTACCTCCTGCTTCAGCTTCTAATATGTCTCTAAAGCCCTTCGTGCTTGAGGAGGTGTCCTACCAGCTTGTTTCGTCTACTTTTTATTAAGTTCTACTCTTTTAAATACCAACTCATTTACCAACTTTGTATAAATTTATTTTCGTATTCAGCCAAACGACTACAGTAAATTGAACTATTAAAAAAGGGGATAAATCTAAAAAAGGCTTTAAAATAAAAGGCAGTCATAACTTGTGATCAAATTCACCGCAAACCATTCTTTTTTGTTACAATTTATATAATTATACAATCGAATTTGAGCTTGATATAATAGGTACATTAGAATCCGCTTATAACGACATCGAAGGGAAATGACAATAACGTCATACTAAGCGGGCGTCATGCAAAGCATAGTCTTAGAAAATAAACAACTTTCTATTTCGGTTAGTTATTTAGTTTAATAGAGAGAAGAAAAACTACAAATTGTATTATATTTATTAACATAAAAATAAAAAGAACGATGAATTGCAATATCAATATACATAAGAAAGGTCAGAAAAATGGGCAAAAATGTTATTATTAATCATTTGAGTCACTATAACCGAATATGATTTCTTGAGAATAAGTCATAATAAACGATATGTCATTTTAAACGGAGTCATTATATCCAAACATTCCAATAGAGAATTTAATATGAAAACCAAACTTAACACTGCAATTACTTCATATTAAGCGGTTGGTCAATATAAGCGGAGTCATAATAAACGAATTCCACTGTATATAGATAAGATGGACATTAACTCACAATTTTGTTTGCGACGGGGGCGAGCGGGATGGCACGGGTTCTATTCTCGACAATTACAATACTTTTTTTTGTGCGGCCGGGACGGCTCGGGTAGCGTCAACGGCGGGAATTATGAATGAATAAAATAACATACTTATATGAAGAAAGGCAGTTTTACGATACACAATCGTCGGCAGATAGGTACATATTTAATTTTTTCATCTGTTTTCAGTTCAAGGTTTCCTACCAAGTAAACTACAGAATGTTAAATTATCTTTATTTGCGGCCAGTTGCCTTGAATTTATTATACATACACATGCATGCACACACACATCTACTAACCCATGCTCCTATGTGTTATAATCTCTGATCTGTTGGTTTCGTAAATTAGGTAAATTGGGCCCCAATTTTATATTTTCTTTAAAATAAGTTGTATAATCGGCATATTTGGTAAAGGTCTAGATTATCCCCCCCAGGGGGTATTGAAAGAGGAGGTCTCCCCCATCACTGTACCATAAAAACTTTGCGGCGGTCTCGCCCCCATGAAAAGTTATGAGAGCTCAAAGTTCATTATTTTATTCACCTATTGATATCAAATCAAAACATTCTTAAACGTATATTCATCGGTAATATGTCGTTATTATATCCATAATATACTTTGAAGTGCAATAGTACTGAGGATGATACGATCTTACGTACAGTAGTACCGGGAAGAAGAAGAAATTGAGAAATGTAGATATCGAGTTTATGACACATTAAGAAAAACTTTTTTTAATTGATTTTTTTGGTTCTACGAATTATAAATATTATAAATGTTGGATTATTGATAATAATAAATAATCTATTAAATTTTATTAGATTTTATAGTGTATGAAAATTGGAAAATTACAGAACTTCGCAACCCCATAACTTTTTATGGGGGTGTGACCACCGCGAACTTTTTATGGTGGTTTACTTAGGAAGACCTCTTTCAATCCCCCCTGCCCCCATCACCGAAGGGGATAATCTACACCTTTACCGTGTATTATTTCAAATTACATATATAACACTGTTGAAACGAACATTTGGTAGCAATTTAAAAAAATCTTCCTAATTACTTGTGCATTGTAACTGTTATATACCTAAGTACGTATATATATCTAGTTTATGCTGTAGTTATCAGTAATTGTGATATTCCGATTTCTCGTTACAGATTACGTAGCTGGAGGCGAACTTTTTACGCATTTGTACCAAAGAGAACACTTCACCGAAGATGAAGTTAGGATTTATATAGGAGAAATTATTTTAGCACTAGAACACTTACACAAGGTAGGTCATTTGAAAATTAAATTGTTACGTAAAAGGTATGTATGTATGTACATAACAGGTCGACTTAAGCGTTTTTTTATGGATTCTATTACATAAATAGAGTAATAGTTGGCAATTATTGAGATTTTACCTTTATATTCCCACTTATTTACCCGTTGTAATATCGTCAAATGGTCAAAAAGGGGGCATCTTGACATTTTGGAAGTAACTAAACGTCTATCAAGGAAATTGTCTGTTGCAATGAAAGAAATTCCGCCGTCTGCATTTACTCAAGCGCGATGGATTTATTTTTTTATATGGGTGTAAATTCTGGCCAAATTCGGAAATTTGCGCAAACACGGTGTGATAATGTCCTAAATTTTACAATTTCATCACAAACGTTGAAAAAAAGAACTAGCACCGTGTTCAATAAATAAGCGTATAAATCGTCTAGTTGTTGCAACTAATAGTTACCGTTAATAGCCTAGTGGTATCGACGGTTGTCTGCCATGTAGACGTGCCCGGCTTCTGTACTCGGCCAGTGCTATAACTTTTTTTACCTAATTTACGTTTATTAACCTTTTACGATCAGTAATTTCTTTTATATTGTTAAATGTATTCATCAAAGAATGCTTTTGTTTGATTGCCTACGATCATAAGGTAGGTTGTTGTCATGTCCTTTATTTTTGTCAGCACTCGTGGCTCATCTTGTAAACATACGGCGGAATTATTCCGCTTCGATTGCGTAAATGATCAAAATATCGGCGGACTTTCAACGTAGTGACATTAATAAGTTCGCCGAATGGCGATATAAATCGTTTATGTATCTAATTAAATAGTCTACAACTTTTATTAATACATTTCTTCACGTATCAAGAGGTGAAAAAGAAGGCAGAAGCCAAAGGAAATTGGCGATTGTTGATTGAGTAGTTAAGGCGTGAAATCGACCAAATTGAATTAATTTTTCTATCACTAGGGAACTGTATTTTGTTCCTGGATAAAAAGTACCCTATGTTCTATTCTGTACCCCTGACAATGTGTACAAAATTTCATGATGATTTATTGAGTAGTCAAGGCGTGAAATCGACCACATTGAACTAATTCTTCTATCCCCTGGAACAGTATTTTGTTTCTGGATAAAACGTACCCTATGTCCTTTTCTGTACCCCTGACAATGTGTCTACAAAATTTTATGAGGATCGATTAAGTAATTAAGGCGTGAAATCGACCACGTTAAACTAATTTTGCTACCCATCAGGAACAACATTTTGTTCCTGGATAAAAGCACCCTATGTCCTTTTCTGTACCGCTGACAATGAGTCTACAAAATTTTACGAGGATCGATTGAGTAATTAAGGCGTGAAATCGACCACGTTAAACTAATTTTGCTACCCATCAGGAACAACATTTTGTTCCTGGATAAAAGCACCCTATGTCCTTTTCTGTACCGCTGACAATGAGTCTACAAAATTTTACGAGGATCGATTGAGTAATTAAGGCGTGAAATCGACCACATTGAACTAATTTATCTATCCCTCAGGAACCGTATTTTTGTTTCTGAAAAAATGTACCCTAAGTCCTTTTCTGTACCCCTGGCAATGAGTCTACAAAATTTCATGATAATCGATTGAGTAGTTAAGGCGTGAAATCGACCACATTGAACTAATTTTTCTATCCTTCAGGAACAGTATTTTTGTTTCTGGAGAAATGTACCCTAAGTCCTTTTCTGTACCCCTGGCAATGAGTCTACAAAATTTCATGATGATCGATTGAGTAGTTAAAACATGAAATCGACCACATTGAACTAATTTTTCTATCCCTCTGGAACAGTATTGTGTTTCTGGATAAAAGTATCCTATGTCCTTTTCTGTACCCTTGACAATGTGTCTACAAAATTTAATGATGGACGATTGAGTAGTTAAGGGGTGAAACCGACCACATAAAACTAATTTTTTTTTTACTTTCAATCTTCTTTTTCATTAGGATAATTGTTTTGGCATTGTTTCAGCTGATTGTAATGAGACTTTGGGATCCTAATTAAATCTCAATAGTAACAAGTCCTAAAAATTTCTAGTTTTCGGTGTGCAGCCGTTGAAATGTACCTATATACCATTCTGGTGCTGCAAGTTTTCGTATGCTAGGTTAATATGTATTGTATTGGTACTACTGTGCAGAAGGGAATTTTGGATTTTGATCTTAACAAGGATGCTAACTGTTTGTTGATGTGGTATACATAATCTCGTGTAACTGTATTTTAATAATGTCCAAGAAATCCCAATTTAACTCCTAGTAACTAAACATATGTAAAATACTCGACATTTTAGGGGACTTATGCTCATTGAGATTTTTGATCAGTATAATTTAAAGAACATTTTCTCACTTTCGATCGAAACCTATTTTGTTAATATCTAAATTACAATCAATGTTAATTTACTTAACTCCATTGTTTACTTTATGAGAACTTCAAATTATCGTTCAAATTATGATTATGGTTGAGTAAATGTTCAGCGTAATTGGAATTTTATTTTTCATTAACAAATTAAACATTTTTTATGTGACTTATATGACACTAAATTCCTGACATTATCAATTAATGTTTTATACCTATCGCTTGTTTATTATTTCCGTATTAAGCCTGTTGACCATATTTAAAAAAAAAATTAAAATACCTACCTGTACTCATTTACGTTGTAATGAGTTTAACTTTTGTAATTTTACACCCAATTCAATTTGGTGTTTTTTTTGCATAATGTACAGTTTTCGGTTAATTTTTGCCGATCCAATAAATTAGCTGTCGTTTTTCTGTGTAAACATTTGTGTCCATAACATGCTTCACGTTCTAGCCAGGTGTTAAAATAAGTTACAGGTAATCTTATTTACCCCTCTTTGGTCACCAGGTGCATATGTAATTTAGGTATATGTTCACTTGCGTGGAGAAACACCAGATGTTTAATAGCACATAAGGCTCTCCATATAGAAAACTTGGCTACTTTTTATTATGAAGATAAAAGGGATTTAATTACGGTTTACAGGATGTACTTTCTTGCAAATTCATACGAAAAGTGCCGTTTTAAATTTACAAGTTTAATTATTAAAAATTTCCGTCTTTTTGTGTTACTTTTCTAGAACGGTTACAAAAATATTCTTAGTTAGTTTATCTGAATTTTAATCCGTATTATTAATGTACATACGTAAACTGAATAGGTAGGACGTTGATCGTTTAATGCATTCATTATGTTTTCATAAATTTGCTTACCTAATTTATGGATTAGCTTTTGTATTGAATTTCATTGAAATTGTAATTGAAATCCAGTTTTTTTTGTTATTTTTATTGCTTATATAGGTAATTAATTGTAAAGAACATTAATTTCTTGATTAGCAGTTTATTAAAATTACAAGGTGGATCGCTTCTTCGAATATATTAGTTCTCAACAGCACACCATTAAGCAATTTCGATAAGTCGTTGGTCAAGTTAAAGTTGTCCATAACTGTAGATTTCCATGGTGTTTGACAAGGGTCTTACTGACCTATTATCTACTTTACAAAGCAAATTCAGTTTGGTAAATGAATATCTTCGTAAGACCTTGTCGGGCACTATGATATGCTGCAGAAATATAGATCTAATAACGGATCTTGAGATCTACCAAAATACGACGTGGTATAGGAAAACACTTACAAATACCCGTAACAATTTTTTCACATAAATAAGGAAGTCCAATAAATGCAGTTTAAAGCTTTTGAGAATAATATTCGGTTAGGTTAGAACAGTTTCGAAAGAAGAAGCAAATATCCTGTAACTTTTTTTGATTGGATCCAAGTTTAACTGTTGCCATTTAAGCGAAACTTTTTTCTATTTTTGAACACTCTGTANCATGATGAGCTAGTTAGAGACGCACAGAAGCAGAAACAGCAGCTAAGAGGAGTAGAGGTAGACCTAGATCAGGTTACTGTTCACTAATAGTTCAGGATGTGGGATGTTCTAGTTTTGCGAAGATTAGCATAAGATAGGAAATAGTGGAATTTGAATTTAAAGTAGATAATATTTATTATCATATATATACATTAATAAATTACGAAATTAGTTTTATCTTTAAGTAGTATAAATAAAATATTTTTTTAATTAACATAAACTGACTTTACATTTTTAAACCGTTTTGGGCCCCCGAAATGTTTGGTGAAGAAAATATGGCCCGCGGGCTTTGATAAGTTAGACAGCGCTGCTATACACGATCTATTAAAATAAGGAATAAGTTTTAGTTGAAAAAATTTTCGATGGGACTCATTGTTTGAGTCGATTGTGATTTTTTTGCATATTTTGACATTCTGAACAACAGTTTTCTATAACTTTTTGTTTGGACCCACTGCCATTTAAACAAAACCTTTTTAGGGTTCCGTACTTACGAATGAAAAACGGAACCCTTATAGGACCACTCTTGTGTTTATCTGTACGTTTGCCACAGTCAATTTGATTCGAATCTATTGGACCGATTAAGTTGAAAAGTACACTCATAAATTCTGTGACCAAAACACGGATGCATAACGTAATTTAATTAATTTTGAACATCGGGATCATTTTACGGGGGGTTAATAAAAAAAAGTTTTGCAAACTTAACCGTGTGACAAATTAAGTGAAAGGGTTTGTTGTAAGGGTCTCAAATATATTTATAATTTTAAAATAGGTAGAGTGTTTCTAAATAAAATTTTGAAAAAAATATAGAAAATAGTTCTTTAGTTATAGATTACAGGAAAACTAATAAGAAGTCTATGTTCTGAACATAACGTGGTAAATCTTTCAACAAAGTTTTGGAGTATGAATGTATGGGAGAACATGTTTTTTTATTGGTTCTCGGGTTAGGGTTTCATATGTCCGAATGAAAAACGGAACCCTTATATGATTACTCGTGTGTCTGTTTGTCCGTTTTTTCTATTTTCGAACACTGTAAAGTAAATCGAATTCAGATGCTACAGACCATTTTGTATTAATACAGGGAATAAGTTTTGTTTGAAAAATTTTAAAAATTAAGCTTATGATTTGACCACTACAATGAGCATAGTGCGGACATTTTGGACCACCCTTCATGTATATGTAGGTACCTTAACATGAATATTGTAAATTGAGCCCAATGTAGAAATTTTTATAAGTGCATCAGGGTTAACAGTTTTGTTAAGAATGTAGGTTAGGTCAGTCTTTTTTACTAATTAGTACTGCTGCTGTTTCAAATTCAAAATGACGATACACTTACATAGATCGCAGTTGACGACTCTTCGAAACATAATATGTATTAAAAGTAATTCAGACTTACCTTGATTTTTATATTTAGTAACGTGTAGAAGATTGAACAGTACTCTAGATAAATAAATATTAGGAAGGAGGTCATACAAGGATGCACACTGTCACCAATACTTTTTAATCTATACATATATCGGAAGACGCAATACATTTCATCGAAGACAGGGCATCTTTAGGGATAGATATATAAAAGCAAAAGATTGGTATGTGCGTTAGCATCTAGTAAGGATGAGTTAGAGATACTGACAAAACCGTATTGTATGAAAATAGATAAAAATAAGTAGGGAAAGGGTGATTTATAAAGATAGTAGAGGAACAATTAGGAAAAGTGGCTGATTTTCGGTATCAAAGAAGTCAGATGACTTGGGATAGAAGGAGCAGTAGAGATAAAAGAGATGATGGCAAAAGTCACTTCGATGCTCACTAACAGTTAATTTAGAAATCGAAAAAGATTAGAAAAGGATTGGAATGAGGAGATATTAAAAAAGGCATGAGAACACAAATTAATAAGAAATACGTGAGATAATGTGCTAGGATACCTTCTTAGACATGATGAGCTAGTTAGAGACGCACAGAAGCAGAAACAGCAGCTAAGAGGAGTAGAGGTAGACCTAGATCAGGTTACTGTTCACTAATAGTTCAGGATGTGGGATGTTCTAGTTTTGCGAAGATTAGCATAAGATAGGAAATAGTGGAGGACCGTGTCCAACCAATCTTATGATGAGGATGATGACGATGAAGATTTAGCATAATGTTAGCGCGGACATAGTTACTGCCAACATACATGTTAAGGCTTCTGATGTTAATGTTAATACTCAACAAACTTTTAACACCAAAGCGTGTAATCTCTTGCACAACCCATTCCTTTAACATTCTTGTTATGATCCCCAAAATTAATGTCATAGTTTGCATAAACGTAATCATACTATCAGATGCTTGAATGTATGCACATATATATATTGTTTTAATGTCTGGTGAGAAAACTACGATTTATTTTCAATTTGTTACAGTTAGGAATCATCTACAGGGATATAAAATTAGAAAACATACTACTGGATGATTCTGGACACATCGTGTTGACTGATTTTGGCCTTAGTAAGGAATTGTCAAGGGACCAAGAGGATGTGGAGCAAAGGGCATATTCATTTTGTGGTACGATCGAGTACATGGCACCAGAGGTGGTTCGGGGTGGAACTCAGGGCCACGATATTGTAAGTATATAAATTATTAATATGGTACGCATGTATGTTTTACAATGTGTACTATCTACACACTATGATTTTCAGGGTAATAAGCAAATAATTTAGACGTTAGCGTAGATAAAATTGAAATGATTATGTAATCTTTGAAACAAAGTTTACTATTAAAGTCGATTATATAAGAGATAAAATTAATGTTGCTAGATATCTGCGACACAGGAACTTGTATATGTATGTGTATGTTGGTATATAAAAAACGGACCTTGAAGTTGTTAAGTAAATGTGAAAGTAGGTATACATAAACATAATCACTTTTACAATTTTTCTCCACTTAAGAAATTAGCTATTTTTTTTCCTTAACTTTCGTTTTATATTATCTGTGCTTGTTCTAATCAGAATCAGAGATGTGATTTATTTGAAATACTTGCATTTAAAATGCAAATATAAAATAAAAAATAACTATTTTTAACTTGCATTTAAATACTTTTTTGAAAAAAGCATTTTGTACTTTATTTAAAATACTTTTCGAAACGTATTTTCTATTTGTAAAATGCAAAATACATTTTTGCCGTTAAAAGTTTTACAAATATCACCGATCAAACATTATATANATTTTACATCAATAAAATTATTTGTAACCCTATTTTGGCTCTGATCTTTCACGCTAAACAAACTATTTTGGCATCAGTGTCTTTTTTCCAATTAAAACGGGCGACGAAGACAAATAAGGAAGCATATAAAAGAATTATTTGTTGCTGAACTGAAGAAAGTATAACATAAAGATAGAAAAACTATATCTTAATTACTTCAAACAGAAAAATGTGAATCATACTCAATCATCGCAGCGAGTGATATAGTGCAAACACCACTATTAGCCTAGAAAGCTTCCAATATTTAAAAAATGAGCAAATGCCTGCATGGTTTTCTTAAAAAATATTTTATATCTACTTAACTAAATGTAGAAAATTTAATAGGTACCACAAAAACGTATTCATTTGAAAAGTATTTTGAGAATACGTATTTTGCATTTAGCATTTAAAATTCAAAAGGGAAATCCATTTTGTATTTTACATTTGAAATAACAAATCAAAAAAGTATTTGCATTTTTATTTAAAAAATATATTTTGAACATCTTTGGTTATAATACATATATTATTTTTATGCAAATTGTAATTGAGTGCTGTGGAACGGTAATTAAGTAAACATTTAACAATCGAAAATTCCAGAAAACGAAGAGTGTTTCGACGCCCAAGGTGACAAAGAGACTAACCGAGGAAGACACTTTAGCTGTCGAAACGCATTTTAAGTTTCTAAAAGTTTTGCAGAATTTTGGGTTTTTAAGAGTTTATTTAATTATTCTAATGCATTGCTACTACCACATGCTATTAAGTAAATATTGGTGAGGTATTACTCCATTTGAACACGTACTTAGTACATATATACATCTGAAGCATCCAATTGTTTTACTGGAGTAGCTTGTTAAAGGTTTGTTATAAGTTGACAGTTCAAAGACCGAGCTCATACGAGGCCTTATGCATAATGTTAAAAGCATTTTAGGTAACAGAACTTTGGCTTTTAAATTTCAAACGGAGCGATTAGATAGTGACCAAGAACGAACGTGATAACAACCAAAATTGGTGTTAACAACCGAACGATTTTTACATTTTTACTTATAGGTACCTACGGATACATCATATTAATGTATTATAACTGACAAGTGCATAATTTGTACGATGTGTAATTAGTATGGTTATAATTTTATAACTTTCAAAGCTTACGAATGTATGAAAATTAAACTGAAGGTTAATACGTATCAGATAAAACTAATAAACGCAAATTTTACCCATTTATGAACTCTACATATAATACACGTACATTTGCCAAAGATAGAGATGCGCAAAATGGTTTTTAAAAATATTTAAACTCAAAATGGAAATACTTTCAAATGAAAAATACAAAATAGATTTCCTTTTTGTATTTTAAATGCTAAATGCAAAATACGTATTTTCAAAATACTTTTTTCAAATAAATACTTTTTTGTAGTACCTATTTTATTTTCTACATTTACTTAAATATAAAATATTTTTTAAGAAAACCTTGCGGTGCAGACATTTTCTCATTTTTTAAATATTGGAATTTTTCTACACTATGTACCATATCACCAGCTGCGAAGATTGAGTATGATTCATTTTCTATTTGAAGTGATTGAGATATAGTTTTTCTATGTTTATGTTATAGTTTCTTCAGTTAAACTGGAAAAAAGACACTGATGCCAAAATAGTTTGTTTACCGTAAAAGATCAGAGCCAAAATATGGTTGCAAATAATTTTATTGGTGTAAAATCAACATCACTCATTTTATATCAAAATATTTACAACCCCGTTTTGTTTGTAATCTTTTACACATTGTAACAATGGAATCCATAGTTTCCTTAGCTTTGGGTTCATTTAATAAATGAAGTTTTTCAAATCGTTTTCTAAAGATTTTGAATTATACCTATTTATTAGCACACCACAATATCTTGTAATTTTCAATTTTACACAGTTGGCGAATATCAATTCGATATTGTTTTGCGGGCTCTTTTGTCGTAATTCATAGAATTTCGTAGTTTCTTGATAAAAGTACGATAAGTAGTGATTTGGCAGGTGCTGATATCAATTTGGAACTTCAAAATTCCGTGGACCATGACATTGAACCTGGAAAACAATATCGATCCAATATTATAGATTATACATTTCCAAGGAGTTTAGATTTTTTTGGGATTTCTTCAGTTAAAGAATTAGAGGGCATTCATGGAATGTCTCTTTGTCCCCTTTTTAAGCTTCTAATACCTTCAAACGCCAATGTGAGCAACTTTCATTCATCATTTTATATAATGTTTGTTCGACGATACTCGCAAAACTTTTAACGGCAAACATGTATTTTGGATTTTACAAATAGAAAACACGTTTGGTAAAGTATTTTAAATAAAATACAAAATGCTTAACTGCCAGACGCGGATCGCGATTTCAATCTTTTTGGATCTCATCAGCGCGTCGCAGGCAGCTCCGACAGAACACAGACCAACTTTTACCTGCTGTCTTAACAGCGCGTTTTAAAAAATACCACAAATGGCGCGGTAAACGCCATCTGTAGTACGATGCTACATTTTAGGATTACGCATGCTCCAACAAGGTCCATTTAAATATATGGATATCTACTTGCTGAAACGAATCCCG